TCGCAAGCAAGAGAGCTGGGTTCTATTCCCGGGCAGGGTGAAACGTTGGGCAAGTTTCCTTACTCCACATGCCTCTGTTTACTGAGTAGTAACCTGGTTGTTAGTCGGTTGGGAGATTGCTTTTCTGGAGATAATACTTCCTTCAAAAAAAAAATTGCTCACTCAATCCATGATTGTTTGTGGGACACTACTGTACGCAATTGGCTGCCATGTTTCACCCACAAAATATGAGAGTATATTCTGTGAAGTGCTTTGAGACGTCTTGAAAAAGTGATAAGGCGCTGTATCAATGCAAGGATTATTATATTATTATTTTCTAGCAGAAATCTGTCCAATTTGTTCTTGAAACAAATCACATTTTCTGCTGCCACCGTCTGTCTCCCTAGGGAGTCTGTTCCGTAAGTTTATTACTCTCTTAATGAAGTAATGTTTGCGCAGATTTGTTCTGAATTTACCCTCTTCAATTGCAGGCCGTGTCCTCTGGTCCTACTGTTCAGTATAAGGTAAAACTGCGTATCATCGTCTACGTTATCTTGTCCCTTCAGAATCTTAAAGATCGCCATCATATCATCCTCAACCTTCTCTTCTCCAATGTGAACATGCCCAGTTTATCTAATCGCTCCTCGAAGTCCAGTCACTCCATCCCTTCAATCATTTTGGTTGCCCTCCTCTGTATTCTCTCAATCACTGCAATATCCTTTTTATATTGCAGTGACCAGAACTGCTCACAATATTCCAAGTGGGGTCGCACCAGTGATTTATCCCCACTGCAGTACTAACATATGCTAGTGATAAGCGAAAGCTTCGGGATGGGATTACTGAGTTGCACAAAGCAAATTTGCCAGACATTCTGTAGGACCCATTAAATATAAAACTGAAGGAGCTGTGGTCTGTGAGGCACAGCAAAAAGCCACAAAACGTTACTTACCCCAGTCCAGTACCCAGTCCAGTACTTTAGCTCTCAGGTTCTGTCTGTGGGACAGATGCCAACTTTCATTTAGTGTCTGGCATTGCTGATGTTCTCCCTGTTCCCAGCTCACAAGGTGCCCTAGTCAGTGACCCTGGCCTCTAATCTATGGTAACAGCATGGTTGTGCAGTGCAAGTATGGAGTATTCGTGAAGTCCAGAATTGTGCCCAACAAAAAGAACTCTTAACTAATGATGGAAGTGCAATGTGGGGACTAAAAAGACTGGCTGTCAGGAGTAACCAAGTGCTGGCTTTGTGTTTCACGGGTGATTCTTTCTGAAGCCAGACTTGCTAGCCGCGAGAAAGCGGCATCGAGACTGAATTTTCACTCAATGTTGTTTGTCGTTTGCATAAAGGAGACTCACATCAATCCCACTGGGTGATTCTTTGTGCTTAGGAGGGGCCAGCTTTGCAGTCATGCTCTCTTCAGCTGCTGTGTCCAGCCTGTTTGCAGTTTATTATAAGAAATGGTGTATTTGAGAGGACACAAGGAAACACTGACAAAGCAACAGGCTGTTGCGACATCACAGCATGAAATAGCAGCTTTGCAGCCTTTGGGACAACATAGCCAGTTGATAGGTTCAATGAGCCCAACATATAGAGTGCTTTAGCCTCATAAAGGATTTTCCAGATTCATATTTCACTTACTCCTGTTACAAATGGCAGATAGGTGCAGAAATACGGTGTACTTTCAGTGTTTGGGTACACGTGTGTGTACTCATGTGTAGAGTGCGCATATATTGTGTTGTGTACATCGTGAGCATGTGAATGTTTAGAGTGTGCATATGAATGTGTGTATATACTGTGTGTATAATGTGTATATAATGTGTGTGTACGGTATGTCAATGTATTTTGTATAGTTGGGTGTCCCAATTCCCTGCAAAGCACCTAGTGCTTTGTGATAACATTACTAGCAACTCCATCTTTTTGTACAAATAGTGCTTTTGAGACTCACAACTAAGGTTGGAACACACACATACACATATGTATCATTCATCATCTAGCAACGGAGGAGTTCAAGCTGTCCCACTCACACTCAAACTACACTCCATTGTCAGGATTCCTTTGTGGGCTTGTGCTGCTTGGGTGAGGTAACGCTCAGGCCGATAGGCTCTGAGTTGTTCTTTGAAGGGGTGTGAGGCGTTTCTCAGCCAGTGACAAAGGGAATGGAAGATGTGTAATGGAAGCTCAGGTACTAAAGGAAACATTCCTCCCATTCTGCAGCCAACTTAATAGATCCTGGATATACTCTATATTGGTCTCTGGCACATCAATCAGTACAACAACAACAACAAGATTCCATTTATTGAGCGCCTTTCACGTCGGGAGGACGTCCCAAGGTGCTGTACAGTTGGGTCAGGACCCGAGCAAGGGGGAAATGGTCGGGGGAGGGAAGGGAGGGAGCAAGGAGGGGGTAGAGAGTCGAGAGGGGAGCTGAAGGCACGGTCAAAGAGAAAAGAGTAAACATTCACACCCAATTATTTATATTTGTTTTTCTTTTTTGACAACAGGAAGTTATAATCCTTAAAATAATAATAATATTATAATCCTGTGTGAAATACAGAGAGAGAGTAGCAGCTGGAAGACGAGAGGGAGAGAAGGAAATGAGGGAAAAGATGAGGGAAGGAAAGAGGGAAGGAAAGAGAAAGGAAAGAGGACAGAGAGAACAAGAAAAAATTATTGAAAGAAGTGTCAGAAGGGGAGAAAGAAAGACAAAATAAAAGGAAGAGAAAGAAAAAGATTGAAAGATTGGAGAGAGTGGGAGAGGGTGCGAGAAAACAAAAAGAAGAGAGCAGAGAGAAACAGTAGGAGAACAAGAGAAGAGTGTGCCCAATGAGTCCATGCACAGCATCTCCAAAGAAAGATTATTTGTTTAGTTTCCTGATTATGTAGAGTAATCATTCCAGTTGTAAACAATACTCCATTACAGCATTGGGTGTGAGTCAGCCTGTTAGCAGGGCAGTAGGCCCACTAACTGGGGAATTTGTCTAATCAAGGGTGCAGATCATCTGTTTCCAGCAATCATGCAGCGGTGCTGGGAAACAAATGTGTTTTAAGCATTAAACGAATCAGTCGTAAACCCATTGTAAGGAAGAGGCAATAAAGCCACTCTCCCAGGACCACAGCGACTTCAATCAAATACAAATGCAAATGATACTCGTCCCACACGCTGATCACACAGCACTTAGCGGGTACAGCAACCCCCACTGAATGGTGACTACAAAGGGAAAATCCAGGAGCTCTGAGAATGGGTGGTCACTGTAATGGCGGGCAAGATGGATGAGCGTCCCAGTCACAGGAGCAGCAGCAGCCTGTTGTGAGGTTATTGGCAGGGCAGTAACTGTGGACCTCTCCTTGGCTGAGTGTTTCACTGTTGTCTTGGAAATTGTAGGCCCATAAATTGGCTTAGTACAAACTTGCCTTTGTGATAGATTCAGTGACTTAGTTACGACCCACCTCCTGAACTTTACAGCCTCACATTACAGTGACTCATAATTGCTGCCCATTTTAACCTGAACCTTTAGAACAAGACAGTTTCTAACATTGTAGATTGTATGCAAAGCAACAAGAAGCAATATCCACAGTTAGGCTTCACCAATGCTACATTGTCAAACAAATGAATTCTCCATGTGTAATCTTCCTATTGCCTGTATAAATTCTCCCTGCTGGTGCCTGGGTTGCAATCTTACCCTACTTTGCGATAGGATGCCCTGGGGGTGATCCCTGCTCCTGATTTTCTCTTGGGAATGTCCATTTTTCCACCTGATGTCCCTCTTCCCATTTCCAGCTGGACAAGGACAGGAGCACACAGTATGTGGGCGCAGGATACTTGCTAGCTTTCACAATCTGATATTGCTGCTGGCATCATTGAGGCAGCAGAACTGATAACACTGACCTGAAATACTTGGCTGGGTGGGGAGCTGGTCAGATATACAGAGAATAACCAGCAGGTTGCCCCGAGAACCAGAGGGAGAGATTCAGACCCTTCTCTTAACAACTTTCCCACGGAATTCAACACAAACTAGATTATTAATTACAATCACAATTCCCAGCCAATAATTGATTTAAATGTTGCTGGATGCCATTGTTGGGAACTGCTTCACATTGTCAGGTTCAGTAGCTCCTCTCAGCTTGTGCCCTGTGTCACTGCCTGTATTTGGACTGTCACTCCAGCTCCCTCACAATGTCAGGTCACAGCAACTCCTTCTATCCAACCAATACCACAATTGCATCAACACTTCTATAATAAATAATAGTTCTTGCATTTGATACAGCGCCTCATCATGTCTTCGAGACGTCTCAAAGTGCTTCACAGAATATACTGTGAAGTGAATTGACTGTATATTTTGTGGGCAAAACACAGCAGCCAATTGCCCACAGCAGTGTCCACAGACAGTCGTGGATTGACTGGTCAAGTTATTATTATTTTATTTCTTTTTTTGGAGGGATTATTACCCCAGAAAAGCGATCTGCCAATCGACTAACAACCGGGTTCCTACTTACTGCTGGTAAACAGAGGCGTGCGGTGTAAGGAAACTTGCATAAGATTTCACCCTGCCTGGGAATCGAACCCGGGTCCTCTTGCTTGCGAGGCGAACGCTCTCAACAACTAAACTACTTCTGATTTAGATCAAAACATTAAAATTAATAGATTTGGAGAGATAAAAGGGGGAATGGGGAAGCAAGTCAGAGAGGTAGGGAGGTGCCAGGGCATGAAGGGACTTGAAAACGAGTGTGAGGATCTTGAAATTGATCTGTTTGATAATAGGGAGCCTGGCTAGAGCTGGGGTGATGGGGGGACGGAGTTTAGTGCAGGTGAGTATGTGGGCGGTGGAGTTTAGGATCAGCTGGATCTTCTGCATGGTGGAGCTGGGGAGACCAGCAAAGAGGGCATTTGAGAAGTCAAGTCAAGAGTTGACAAACACAGTGCTATCATCGAGATGTGGCATTGGCCTCTTGTTCACAATCTCCCCACTGCAACAGGTGTGTGACAGGGATTTTATCTGCAATTGCATCTTAAGAAAAAACTTACGTCTTGTGATGAAAATCTCTTCTGTCTGTAGTTCCCACACTCTGAAAAATAATATAAAAATATACATCAATTAATTTTGGTGAGACACTCCCATCCCTATTAGCAAAGTCCTGTGGCTCAGTGGTTGGAGCACTCGCTTTGCAAGCGAGAGACCTGAGTTCAATTCCAGTCAGGGCGAAACCTTGGGCAAGTTTCCTTACTCCACACTCCTAATAATAATCCCTCCAAAACCAAAAACAATAATAAATTGGTCATTTTCAATCTACGACTGCTTGTGGGACATTGCTGTGCGCAATTGGCTGCCGCGTTCGCCCACAAATATACAGTCAATTCACTTTACAGTGTGTTCTGTGAAGCGCTTTGGGATGTCCTCCCGATGTGAAAAGCGCTATATCAAATGCAAGGATTATTATTATTATTATTATCCAAACCCGTCCTGCCATAGCGGGTAGAGACAGCGTCAGCTGCTGCTCTTACTGTGGAATGTCAACCTCTTACAAAATAATAATACTCATAGTGATTTGTAGGTATGAGAAACAGCGCAAGGAGAGCACACAGTCACAGCAAGAGGCTGTGAGGCTGGGACACCACAGACAGACAACAACAACAACAAGATTCCATTTATAAAGCGCCTTTCACGTCAGGAGGACATCCCAAGGCGCTGCACAGTTGGGTCAGGACCCGAGCAGGGGGGAAATGGTCAGGGTGAGGGGAGGGAAGGGAGGGAGCGAGGAGGGGGGAAATGGTCAGGGTGAGGGGAGGGAAGGGAGGGAGCGAGGAGGGGGAAGAGAGTCGAGAGGGGAGCTGAAGGCTGAAGGTCAAAGAGAAAGGTTTTGAGACCGGCCTTGAAGGAGGAGAGGGAGGAAGCGGCGAAGGCACTGGGGGATAGAGTTCCAGAGCCTTGGGGCTGAGAGGCTGAAGGCCCGACCACCGATGGTAGGGCGATTGGGGCGGGGGACGTGGAGCAGACCGGAGCCGGAGGAACGGAGGGTACGGGCAGGTAGGTAGGGTGATAGTAGGTCGGAGAGGTAGGAGTGAGCGAGGCCGTGAATGGCCTTGTAGGTGAGGATGAGGATCTTGAATTCGATCATCTGGGGGATGGGGAGCAGTGGAGGTGAGCGAGGGCGAGGGCGAGGGCGAGGGCGAGGGTGAGGGCGAAGGTGAGGGTGAGGGCGGGAGTGATGTGGGCGCGAGGCCTGGTGCGGGACAGTACACGAGCTGCAGAGTTCTGAATGACCTGCAGTGTGGAGGGAGGGCCGGGAAGGCCGGCGAGGAGAGAGTTCCCATAGTCCAGCCTTGAGGTGACAAAGGTGTGGACCAGAGTTTCAGCCGCGTGAGGGGTGAGGTAGTGCTGTAGTCTGGCGATATTCCGGAGGTGATGGAAGGCGGTGCCAGTTGTGGTGCGGATGTGAGGGAGAAAGGACAGCTCAGGGTCGAACAAAACGCCGAGGGTCCTGATGGCTTTGAGAGGTGGAGAGTGCGGCCTTGGATGCTGATGGTGTCGGCGCCTGAGGTGCGGAGGCGCTGACGTGAGCCAATCAGGAGGGCCTCGGTTTTTCGCACATTGAGCTGAAGAAAGTTGTCTCTTGTCCAGACAGTGGTGGGGAGCACAGACAGACAGACAGACAGACAGACAGACAGTGGTGGGGGAGCACAGACAGACAGTGGTGAGGGAGCACAGACAGACAGTGGTGGGGGGGCACAGACAGACAGTGGTGAGGGAGCACAGACAGACAGTGGTGAGGGAGCACAGACAGACAGTGGTGGGGGGGCACAGACAGACAGTTGTGGGGGGGCACAGACAGACAGTGGTGGGGGGGGGCACAGAAAATCAATATCTGTTGCTAGATTTGTTCTTCCAAATCTTTTGTGCTTTATTTTGTGGTGTAATGTTATGTGATGTTCAGTGGTCTCGGCCTTGGGCTTTTTTTTTTTGCAGGAGGTGATGTTGAGGAAACAAGTACAGAGCCACACAACAGAACACCCCCAGGGAATAGAAACCATGGCGGGAAATACAACCTAGTGAGACTTCAGCCACCAATTTCTTCAAATGAGCAATGTGGCACACAAAGTGTATAAAACCTGTCAACATAAAGGAGAGAGACACACATAACAAGAGCAAGATATAAAGAGAGAAAAAAGTAGAGAATTGAAGATGAAGGTGAGCGACACAAATGAGGAAGAGGTATAGATGAAGGGGATAGAACAAGAGAAATGCACACATACAGAGGCTCTACTCTGTATCTAATCTAAACTGCAATTAACCTTGGAGTTCACAATATTCTCCATTTCTAGGTAACCGCCCACTCAGTTGGAAACACTCTCGTTTCTGAGTCACAAGGTTGTGGGTTCAAGCTCCATATTAGGACTCTGATCACATCGTCCAGCGCAGTACTGGGCAAAAAGTGCTGCATTGATGGAGGTTCCGTCCTCCAGTTGAGATGTTAAATCGAGCTCCAGTCTGCTGTTCAGTTGGGAATTAAAGATGCCATGAAACTATTGGAAAATAGAAGGAAGTTTCTCCTGGTCCCTGAGCCAGCGATCCCCACACACTAATATTGCTTGTCTACTTCATAGCTGTTTGTGGTACATTTCTGTGCACAAAATGGCTGCCATGTTTGTCTACAAATAACAGTCATTACACTAAGACAACTTGGTGGTGTGTTTTGACGTGATGAGGCACAATATAAAATACAAGGATTATTATTTCTCAGGATCCTCTTATTACCTCCAAAAAGTTACATTTAAAAAAACTGTACAATTAATGGTAAAAGCTTTTGCTCTTGTCAAACTGCAGCTGGAGTTGGATACAAGTCAGCAATGTTTAATGGAGGTGTTACAGTGCTGCCAGACCACTGGCAGACACACTAGTTCAGCAGGACTCGGCTTAAAATTGTGCACTTTAGTGGACTATAAGCTCAGAGAGCACAGCGTACGTTAGTAAATCAGTAAATCACCGAGATATGACAGCCCTGAGACAGGGGCCACACTCAGTCTTGTGAATCCCACTCACTATATAACTCGACAATAGACTGCAGAATTACAAACAAGAAAAGCTGACCTACTGTCTAGACCTTTATGGTTGTCCAAAACAAAATAAATATACTTGATTGAATATTTCTTGCTTTAAGCCTGATCAGGAGCACATTTAAACAGTGTGAATTGATGTTTGTGGTCAGACAAAACAAGATATTTAATCTCATAAAGCTGGTACTTTGTGCTATTCTGGTCTGTTCCAAAACAGGGCATCTGTGAGTCTGAGATTCCTCGTGATATGTTCCGTAGAGTTGTGGTAGCTTCCTCATTGTCTACTCAACTGCACCCACACAGACCCCAGTAACTCTTATCAGTGACAGTGAGTGAGTGGGGAAGCGAGAGAGAGTGAGCAGGGGAGAGAGAGTGACTCAGATTTTTTGCAACCTGTGTGTGTGTCACACGTTCAAGGTAGGTTTGTCACAATTTATATGGAGCAGCTTCTGCACACTCACTGCCATGCAGTGCCCCCCCAGCTCTCTGTTTCTCACTAATCCCGGTCACATGTGCCCTAGCTGTTGTGTTCTACAGCCAGGCATTACTCCACGTTTGACACAATATGCGCTCTGAGACACTCCTTGCATGGAGGGTGCTATATAAGTGCAAGTTGTTGTTATTACACACAGCAGACATCTCCACATGGTGGGTCTAGGGTCTTGCACACAACATAGAACTGTGCGACGTGTCCATTCAACCCATTGTGTCCATCCCCACTGTCTTTGAAAGCCATTCAGTCCCATTTTCCTGCCTTTTCCTAATACCCAGCAAATGATTTCTTTTTCAATAACTGTTCACGGCCTCTTAAAAGCTAACATGGATCGTGCCTCAAGCACAACTCTCTGCGGGGCATTGCACATCCTAACAATCTGTTTCGTTAAAAAAAATTCCACTTTGCTCAGACACACCATTTCTGATCTGGGTGTGTTGGGCCACTGATATGTGATATGGGTAGCTCCCGTTTCCCGCATTTCTTTGAGTAGTTTTGGTTTAATATTGTGCTAACAATGCTAGTATAATCTTTGAATAGTTTCATTATTGTGTGCCAGACATGTTTGTACCCAAGGTCTCCAACAGTGTATCACTTTCATTGTTGTTGTAAAATATGGTATGAACACGCTTAAAAAAAGTTTTAAACAATCACATCCATTGCTAAAGCCTGTAAATCAGAGCAGTAGCTTAACTCAGCACAGTAGGCTCGCCAGCGAGGCAAACACAGGACTTCGACCCCTACACTCCAGATATAGTCTGAATGTTTTCATTGCTCCTCTAATCAGGTGTGAGAACAAAACTACAGCACAGTGTTTGCTGCTGGTCACAATTTATAGAATCACATCTCAGTTAGATCAAGACAGCTCAGGCACACTGTGAAAAGGCTGTGAACAGAACAAGTAAAAATTATTGGAGTTCATGAACCACAGCATTACCTGTAGGAGGTGCACTCAGCAAGCATCAACAAGCTAGTAACATAGGATAATTAAGAGTGCAGCCCTGCAAGTCATAAACACGACACAGGGTTTGTGTTTACAGGAATCACAGGCCCTGTGTCTTGAATGTAATAGAACAGTCCCAAGTATTTAAGGGGCTGAAGAAATGTCCTAAAACATTATATTTAATAAAAGTTGATGTGAAGAGAAGCTCTGTACCATGAGCTAGCAACATACCAGCTTGAGAGAGAATTGTATATTGGTTTGTACTTATAGCCAGTGTAGCCAGGCTCCAGCCCTGCCTCCTCAAAAAACACACACACACAGACACACAGACAGACATCTGTGAACTATAAGATGAGCTAAAATGTAGAAAATGAAATTGATAGCATTTTATCTAGTTACCAGGAGGAGTGGGAGATCGTAAGATTTGGAAAGTGGAAAAACGATGGATATTTAAATAAACGATGGACAATCACTGTGCTGAGTTACTAAACTCGGCTATGGCAGTAGTGAGGGCAGGTGCAGCTATCAGAATTAGGAATACTTGGATGTTCCATATTCGGTTGGATGGGTTTATAGTCATAGGCGGTTGGTTGAATTGGTTCACAGAGAGAAGACAAATGGTGAGACTTAATGAATGAACAGGATTGATTGGCTAATGACTTACAACCTTGATAGGAGAGGTGACTTGCAAGAGGAAGAGATTGCAGTTAATGGCAAGAACATGTGCTTACAGGCATTCAATGATTCATGGCATTGTGAACTGGCTACTGGTAGCAACAGGTGTTCGCTGTCTAGGTGAAGCACAATGAAGTGAAGAAAGCAAGCACGTACAGAGGAAGGCAGCGTCGTGACGAACACACAATCCTTTTTTGTCTCAATAGACAACTTCTTCATCGGCAAAGAGCATTGCTCACAATTCGCTACATAATAATAATAATCCTTGCATTTGATATAGCGCTTTTCACGTCAGGAGGACATCCCAAAGCGCTTCACAGGACACACTGTAAAGTGAATTGACTGTATATTTGTGGGCGAACGCGGCAGCCAATTGCGCACAGCAATGTCCCACAAACAGTCGTGGATTGAAAATGACCAATTTATTATTGTTTTTGGTTTTGGAGGGATTATTATTAGGCTCTGTGTGGAGTAAGGAAACTTGCCCAAGGGTCTCTCGCTTGCAAAGCGAGTGCTCTAACCACTGAGCTACAGGACTCCACATGCAGCAATTGGAACTTTTAGAAAAATCTTCTGCATTTATAATACTTCAAAGAGACTCAGTAAGTAGCTGAGTCAGCCATGCAGAGCACTATACAACTCAAGTATGACTTCTGAGGATCGGAACTCAACTAATTATACAATAAAGCATTCTGCTTGCTTTATTTATTGCTGCCTCACACTCTCAGCATGAGCCATGAGCCATCTAAGTTGCCAGGATCTCTTTCAGCTTCCCCCTTGGCAAGTTCTAACCCACCCAAGAAGCACACACGCCTCCTATTTTTACTTCCTATTTGCAGTGCATTCCTTTACCTGTATTGAACTTCATTTTCCAGTCATCAGCCCATGTGCATACCTTATCAAGCTTTGTTTGTAGGACCTTTGCTGCCTCCTCTGATTCACAGTTTCCCCCAATTTGGTGTCATCTGCAAATTTACTACTTTATATTGGCTCTGCAAACCCAGGTCCTCAATGTATACAGGAACACAAAAGGGATCGCAAAAGCAGCTGCTGAGTCACCACATTTAATACTTCTACTCTTTTGTTCTAGATCTTCTGACAACTATTTTCCAACTGTCCATGTCTTGGCCTTTGTATACAGTGACATAAGGTTTTGAAGGCATCTTTCATGTTAGACATTGTCAAATGCAAACTTTTGCTAAGTCATGAACACAACGTCATAGGATTTTCCAGTCAATTTGGCGTGTCACCTCCTCCAAAAAGTGTATGAGATTAGTCTCACCAGATCAGAATTCATGCTGTCTATCAATTATTCAGTTATTTTTGGTAATATTCCATTTACTTTCTGATGGTTGACTCCATAACTTTTCCAATTATTGAGGTCAGGCTGAAGGGTCTGCAGTTGCCAGGTAAAGTCGGTCAACTTTCTTGAATATGGATTCTGAATAAACAATACACAGCTCACAGTCACATTGGCCTCCGGTGAGACAGTGTAATTGCTACTTTTACGGTTCAGATGGAAAACTATTCAAACTGCGAGCAGTTTCCCTGCAATCACTGGTTTAAACATTGATGCTGTGGCCAACGAGACAGCACATTAGCTCCATCTGGTGGCTGAAGCCCATTATCAACACCACCTGGAATTGCAACTCATCTCTCTTAAACCTGTCCGAACATGATGCAAGCTCTTTTAAGGAACTTGTTTGTGTTGTGTGCCTATCAAACTGGCAGCAGCAGTGAATTCCTGAATTAGAGAAGAGACACAAAAGCATTTTACGTAGGCTGCCAGAGACCACGAAAGAGAAACCGGGACAGAGAGTCTGAGTGCAGTCATGAAGTAAACACCAAGCACCTTCCAAGGAATGCAACTATGGCAGGCAATAAAAACGGAAGGGAAAGTATGTGAGTTTCAATACCCAAGTTATTTATAACTTAAAGTAAATATCCAGAATATATCTTACAGAAATGGTCCGGCCATCTACTCCCATACACAGTCACATTCACCCAAACCAAGCAGTGATCTCCTGTTCCAGCCCAGTCTGTGCTGAGTTACTGAGTTTGACCAGAGCAGCAGTGTGAGCACAACTGGCCTCATCCCCACCCCCACCACTGGACTCGGAATGAAGATGACCCATGACTTCTACTGGAAGCTCATGTTGAGGACAGGAACGATGCGCTATGGCCAGTTTCTCTGTCCGGACTTCAACATGATCCCAGGCAGCTTGGATTAGACATTGGACCGAGGGAAGTTGGGGAAGTCTCCCTATCATGTGTCAATGGCCTCAAGAGCGGCAGCAAGAGAAATGGGCAGACAACATATTTTGAAAAACTTCTAAACAAGACAATCTTGTTGTTAAATATTAATGAGGTGCGTGGAGGAGATTCACGTTCTGACACTGAATCCTGAACAGTCTTCCAAATTAAGACTGAATTTAAGAATTTTCTAAAGTTCTGCATGACCTTAAATGCTAAGCCTGTGAGAGGCTTCGGAATGAAATGTGTAACTGACAGCCAAACAGCAGACTCACATGCTTGCACCTAAACTGGATCTTGCCTTTTCCTGTCCTGCTGGCGGTTTTCTGTCTCTCTGGTTGCCGCTGAAACAAGGACTCGTCAGCAGAGATGCTTTTCCTCAGTGTGGCTCTGCCCGAGTGTGCCCACAGCTTCAGCTGCTGCTTTGAATCCTTCTCATCTGCCGACGCAGACCAATCTTTGGGCTGCTCACCCAGTTGCCAGGCATCTGTGAGTAAAGAAACAATGAGATGAGCAACTGGCAATTGATAGCATCTTGATACCCTGGGGACTGTCAACGCAGGTTCGGAGTGTTTCACACTCTGTTCTGTTCTGCTCTTCCTCCCACCCCCCACCAACATGAAAAGCGCTATATAAATGCAATTTGTTGTTGTAAACTACTCTATGCTTAATGCTATACTTCATCTCATAATAGATGCGGGTGTCATGGACTATATCAAATGCAAGGATAACTATTATTGAAGGCTGGCAGCATTCAATGTGTTCTGCTCTGTATTTTGGCCATAAACTGGAATCACTACAGTCTCAGCTGCTGTAAAACTGCTTTAAACGTGGGCGACTAGAAAAGTGCTGCCTTACTTTTTCCACAGAATCCACCACAAACACCCCCCGCCACCCCCTAACCTGAGTTCCTGCGATACATTCTTGGTAAGTGCTGTACTATTCACATTAACATTTTAGTGTTTTAAACGTAACTACACGTTCAGGAAGTATATGCCTATAGTTTTAATCTGTGTTTTTTCACAAAATGCGTCTCTCAATACAATACAATATTACATTTATAAAGTGCCTTTCACATCAGGAAGACATCTCAAGGTACTGGTCAGTGATGAGGACCCAAGCGGGAGGGGGAGGTGGGGGGGTTTGGGAGCAGGGAGGTTGGAGGGCTGAGAGGATAGGAGGGTGGCCGAAGGCACGGTCGAAGAAGAGGGGCTTGAGGCATGCCTTGAAGTAGCAAGGGAGGGAGTGAGGCGAAGGGAGGTGGGATGGAGTTCCAGAGGGTGGGGCAGAGAGACTGAAGGCCCGAACGTCGATGGTGGGGCAGGCCGGGCGGGAGACATGGAGTAGACCGGAGCCTGCTGACCGGAGCAATGGACAGGTTGATAAGGGGTTAGCAAGTCGGAAAGGTAGGAAGGGTCAAGGCCATGGAGGGTCTTAAAGGTGGGGATCAGAATTTTGAATTCTATTCTCTGAGGGATGAGGAGCCAGTGCAGCCGGGCGAGGGTGGGGGGTGATGGGGTCACGGAGCTTGGTGAGCCTTCCCTCACCTCCGTAACATCACCCAACTCCCCCACTACCTCACCCCTCAGGCGCTGAAACTCTTGTTCATGCCTTCATCACCTCCAGGCTCGACTATGCAAACGCCCTGCATGTCGGCCTTCCCAACTCCTCCCTCCACAGGCTGCAGATAATCCAGAACTCTGCCGTTCATGTCCTCTCCCGCACCAAACTCCATGACTCCATCTCCCCCACTCTCGCCCGACTCCATTGGCTCCCTATCCTTCAGAGGATCCAGTTCAAAATCCTGGTCCTCACATACAAAGCCCTCCATGGCCTCGCCCCACCCTACCTCCATGACCTCCTAATCCCCTACCAACCCGTCCGCTCCCTCCGCTCAGCCGGCTCTGGCCTGCTCCATGTCCCCCGACCCACCCGCCCCACCATTGGCGGGAGAGCCTTCAGCCACTCTGCCCCCAACCTCTGGAATTCTAGCCCCCAATCATTCCGCTTCACGCCCTTCTTAGCCTCCTTCAAGTCCAGCCTCAAAACCCTCCTCTTCGACCATGCCATCGGACACCCCCTTCCCCTCCCCTCCCTTCTCCCCCCTGACTCCAGCTGAAATGCTGTACACTGTCCAGCGCCTTGGGATGTCCTCCCGACGTGAAAGACACGATGCAAATGTAATCTTGCTGTTGTTGTTATTTGGAGTTATTGTTGGCTAGGACACTGGGAGAGAAAAATTCCCTTCTCTTTTTGAATAGTGCCAGGGGTCTTTAACGCTCACCTGAACAGGCAGGTGAGACCTTGGTTTAACGTCTCAGTTGAAGGATGGCACCTCCAACAATGCAACAATCCCCAATAGCATCAGAGTGTCAGATGATGTGGGGCTTGAACAACAACAACAACAACAACAAATGACCTTTTGTATATAGTGCCTTTCACCACAGGAGGACATCCCAAGGTGCTGAACCCACAACCTTCTGACTCAGAGGCGAAAGGGTGACCACTGTGCCCGCTGTCACACAATGATGCAACCGCTTTAGTTCAACGCTCACATTCCTTAAGTATCTGCTATTAAATTATAATGTGGCTCCAAGATAGGCTCGTGCCCAGTAACAATCAGAGGCTGGAGCCTGAGCTCTGCTCCCACACATGGGTCAACGTTACCCGAGTGCAGCAGAAACCCAACCCAAACACATTAACTATTTACTTTGTCACCACAGCAACTGGACATAAACTTGAATACAGCTCACCAAATCCCCAGTTATACCTTGTCCCACCGCCTGGCACAGGAAGTACAGAAAGTGAACATTCAGTTCATCTAATTTAATCCTTGCAGAATCCAACCTCCATGCCTTCCTCTTACAGCTTCAAGCCATTTGGTAAATGAGTCACAAATATGTTAAATACCAATAATGGCTCCTTTTCCTGCCACTGAATCGTCACCAAGGAAACAATCCCTCAGCTAAGTCCAGTCTAGCCAGCGCGTGAATTGCAAAGCACTGGAATGATTTCTTATTGTAGCCTGGAGAGACCCAGCGAGCAGGCATCAAACAATTTGATCATCTTCCTAACTTCACACTATTGCATCCAGCACTCCTAGGTTAGATAAAATGTGGTTTAGACACAGAGTAAAGCTCCCTCTGCACTGTCTGTCGCCAAATCCCCACGTCAGATTACAATGTTTTGATGGGATAAGGCACTATATCAAATTTAAGGTATAGCACTTGTTAGAAGCAGAGTACAGCTCCCTCAGGATCTTATTATATTTATTTGCTTCTGCCTTTGTGCCCAGTCCAGTACTTTACCTGCATTTTTCCAGTGCAGACCTCCAGGTGTGGGAGGGAGACGGCGTCTCTTTTTTCCAGTAGAGCTCTCACATGGTGCTTTCTGCAGGATGCCTGGTAATGCAGAGCCCATAGGAACGGAGGGTAAGGTACGAGACTTCCTGGAGATCACCTTTCCTTCTGTCGACCTGATAAAGGTGAGAGCGACAGACATGAAAAGAGCAGCTGAAATGTTAATGTATGAACATTGAACATAAGAACACATGTTAAAGGGACTTATTCAGTTGCTGAGACAACTTAGACCTGAAAGAAAACAGGCTCAACAAAGAATTGACCAGAGCAAGTGCAAGCCTGAGAGAACCCAGGGTGGAGGGTTCCATGCCTGAGAGGAAACAGAAACCTTTTTTAATGGAAAAAATGCAACTTTTTGTTATAAAATAAAACACAAGTTTTTTGAGCACATCAAAAAATAAACTAGTAAATACTCTTTCATCATTAAATGGGATTATCACTCATCACATTTCTGTACACTTTGCTCCATGTGCTTACCTGGCAGTTTTTGAAACTATGCACAACATAGCAGAGAACAGAACCAAATTTAATCCCAAACCAAACCTAATCCCTCCCAGGTCCTCAGCTCCAGTGATCACTTCTGGATTTCTGCAGGTCCAATCCTGTGTTTGCTTCTCCTTTACTGGAGAGAGGGCCGCAATCCATCCAAAGCGCATGATTTATAATGCACAAAAACTGAACATATTTAATTATCAGTGGGACGGTACATGCCATCTACAGAGCTTTGATCAGTGAAGCTGAATCACTTTTAGAATTTCATTTTATGATTCTTCTTTTCTTAAGCCAAAGAACTCCAATAAATTTTCACTGGACATTGCTCAGAGTATCCGGACTAAACATACACTGCTTGCTCTACTGTATCTATGTCTCTCTCTCACTGATATCTATCATGAATATACTGTAAAGGGAATTGACTGTGGATTTTTGGACGAAACGCGGCAGCCAATTGCGCACAGCAGCGTCCCACAAACAGTCGTGGATTGAGTGACCAAATTAGTATTTTTTTTTGAAGGAATTATTATCTCCATAAAAGAAATCATCCAAATTGACTAACTACCGGGTTCCTACTTACTGGTAAACAGAGGTATGTGGAGTAAGGAAACTTGCCCTGCGGGGAATCGAACCCAGGTCCTCCCATTTGCAATGGCAAGTGCCCTAACCACTAAGCTACAGGACTCCTGTATTGATTGCTTAAAATAGCAACCTTTTCATTAAATCTTTATAACAGAAAAATCGATTGCTATGGGTTTGAAATTCTAATGGCCACACATTACTTCACTAAAGGGATTTTGACACTGGTCCCATTGTTTTACAGGAAAACCTTCACACGTGTAATGGAGTTTTAGTTGTCAGTGTTAGTCTCTAACAGGGTAAAAATCAGACACAGGGCCATAAACAATCAGAGGGTATCTGCAAAGAGAGGTTCTAACCCCAGAGCAAAGTGAGGTGATAACTGCCCTCTGGACATGATGAAGACTTATGAACACCACTACAAGTACAAAGTACAAAGAACGCAAAGTACAAAGATCACAGAGCTGTGAGGAGTGTGGCAGCCTGAGCTCCAGAGAATAAGCAACCTCTCAGTGATGTATTTCAGAAGGACTTTCCCAACATATCTCTCCAAAACAGGCGCTTAAAAACTCATAATAATAATAATCCTTGCATTTGATATAGCGCTTTTCACGTCGGGAGGACGTCCCAAAGCGCTTTACAGAACACACTGTAAAGTGAATTGACTGTATATTTGTGGGCGAACGCGGCAGCCAATTGCGCACAGCAATGTCCCACAAACAGTCGTAGATTGAATATGACCAATTTATTATTGTTTTTGGTTTTGGAGGGATTATTATTAGGCTCTGTGTGGAGTAAGGAAACTTGCCCAAGGTTTCGCCCTCTGCCTGGAATTGAACTCAGGTCTCTCGCTTGCAAAGCGAGTGCCCTAACCACTGAGCTACAGGACTCCACATAGGAATTTAGGGCATAAAATTAATACTTGCTTTCCCTTTAATTTCCCAATTTACACCAGCATCTTCATGTACAACATCAACTTGCATTCATTTACATGAAGAATTAATGCACAGAATTTAAATATTTACTATTAGTGATCAATTAATGACACAACTAGTCCAGCTGAGCACCTGTATCTGTTCCTCCCTTTCTCCCTGGTCTCTCTGGGCATCAGAACCTGTGTAACCAACACTCTCTTTGCTTCTCTGTATTCCTCGAAATTGAAACATTTTCTACATTCCATTGTAATGAACAGTAAGTCACAATAATACATCTACAGCAGAATTTCATCACACTCTGGGGAGACACTAAAAATAAGAAACTGCAGCTAATGGCATTGCAACCATTTCCTCACTGAAATGTAATAAATATGCATAATCGTTTTAAATGGATTTTTGTGTCATGATCACAGTCTGCACAGAACTATACAATACAGACTTTGTGTATCCACAGCTACTGTACCTGCCCTCAGTCACTGTATAGCTCCGACTTTTCCACGATCCTTTCCTGTAAGTGCCTGGCCCTCTTCTCCATCTCCGTTGAAAAAACGTAACAAGTTTCTCTAAAGGTAACATCACTTCTATCGAGAGACAGATAAGGAGCAAGAGACACACACAGAAAGAGACAGAAAGGATAGACAATTGCAGAGAAACACTGAGAAACAGAGACAGGGAGAGATGATGCTGACAGAAATAGACAGAGAGATAGGAAAATAATAATAATTTGCATTTACATAGGCTCTTTCAGATAAAAACAAACAACTAATCGTTTTATGAAATGCAACTGATTAGAAATTAAGCAAATGTTACTTAGGCAAATGTGTCAAGAAAAGTAAGAGAAATGGATAGAAATGGAGATGGAGAGAGAACAATCACTCAAGAAAATATTGGAAGGGGGGTAACAAGAGCGATAACTGCTGTAAATTTACTGCAGAATATATTCGGTGGGCCAAATTGCCACCTCTGATGGTGTAATTGCAAAGATTCTATGATACTGGGAATGGTAAAGTATTCCTGAACATGACACGTGAGAAGCAGCACCTCAGACAGGACTGTGAGCGTATCATAGTGTGAGAGCGGGGACGGGAAGTGCAATCAGAGGCACGTCCCAACTTCCAGCTCAGCAAGCCACACACCATCTGATCAGCAAACAGCAAAGTAATCAGATACCAGTTCCATTTATCTACATCAGCCCATTCTTTTTAATCCCTCACTTCATACCCAACCATTCCAGCACTGTTGTACTACGGCTGAGCAGCCCAGGGTAATCCATGCTGCCAACAGAACTGAGCTCAGCACTACTTTCAGTCTCAGCATAACATTGCTGTGTCTGTGTTGAAGTCTCAGGGTTCTCTTAAAATCATAGAACAGAACAAGGCCATTTGGCCTATTGTGGTTGCGATATCTCTGAAAGAGCCTCCATTATGCCCAAGCCCTGCCCTATTCCCATACATTCTCATATTTTTTCTTTTTCAAATATTTGTCTAATTCCCTTTTAAAATATATAATTTCACGTACAGTACAGAATAAGAAGTATATTGCCCCTGTATTCCCATTAACACGGCCTCATAGACAGTACAGAATAAGGAGTGTATTATACCCGGGTCTGGTGTATCTCTGGTGGAAAGCATGCTGGGGAGATTAGGCCAGGCTCAGCCTTGCTCAGTGTATCGGGTGTTCAGGTCCTCTCCATTTCACTGTGAGTCAGACAGTGAGACGCCTCACACTGACCTGCAGGGTTCAGACCAGCACCGTGTAGCTCTGAACACTTTGGAACTCAATGCAGTATTTCTTTTCCATGTCTACTTGTCTCCTAGTATAATTCTCTGAAGCCATGGGGTGAAAAATAATAATTCTTGCATTTGATACAGAGCCTTATCACATCTTTGAGACGTCTCAAAGCGGTTCACAGAATATACTATAAAGTGAATTGACTGTATATTTTGTGGACGAATTGCACACAGCAGCGTCCCACAAACAGGCGTGAATTGAATGATCAAATTATTATTATTTTGTTTTTATTTTTTGGAAGGGATTACTACCCCCAGAAAAGCCAATCGACTAACCACCAGGTTCCTATTTACTGCTAGGTAAACAAAGACATGTGGAGTATGAAAACTTGCCCAACATTTTGCCAGGAATCGAACCCACATCCTCTCGCTTGCAAGGCGTGTGCTTGAACCACTAAGCTACAGGACTCCAAAATGTGGATATTTGATTGCAGATTTGACTTTGGCCGCAATGGTTATGACAAACCCAGTTCTAAGATCTTATGCGCTACCATCTTGGATTCTTGCTTAGCAGCTGGAATTGTTATTGCGACTACATCACAGGATATTGAGTGAGTTAAATTGGGATCCCAGAAATGCTACAATTAGTGACCAAAAAGAACGTCATCCACTGAAATCTTTTAGCACAACAATTGTGCTAAAATTGATGGGAAACGGGGATAGGGAGGAACTCCTCGTGGTGCGCAATGCAGGTGGGAGAAGCAGCGTTCCATTAGCAGGAAGGATACTCCGTGGGAAAATAACAATCCAACTGTTTTTTCGTTCCACAGCAGAAAAAAAACGGTTTAAAAACTATGATGTATATAATATCCTGTCTTTCCCTGATCCAGTTACTGGGATTAGGCTTTAGGCTGCGACCGTCCCTGGAGCGATCAATAACATCAGACCGAGCTGTGAGGAGTGCAGTAAAAGCACAATGAGATTCCTGGGTCCCTGATCTGCTGCCTACCCAGAGACTGACAGAAGCTACAGATCTGGAACACTGCAACCCCACAATCAAAAGATTACAACCAATCCACCCATCAACTCCCTTCTCAGAAAAAGAGATTTTAAATCTATTTTGGTATTAAAAGTAATTACAGAATTAGAAATCTACACAATCAACAGCAACAATAACAAAAACTTTCATTTATACAGTCAGGGAAGCAGTTTTTCTCCAGTTATTACTCCTCATGTACAGAGCACGCCCTCTGTACAAATGTTGTGGTGGATTTTAAATGGAAAGTAATCATATTTATAAAGAATGACACACTTAGGAGTTTCTCATACTCCAAAACCCAAAGTTAGAGCACTGTGGAACTCATGTTCTTTCTCTCCAACCGCTTGAATTCAATACTGAACACAAGAATATAGATTCAGTTAATAATACTCTTGCCTTTGGAAACCCAAATTAAGCCACGATCTTACAGTCAAGGTTGATGCTACCCCACAGTACTGGGGGAGTGCTGCATTGTTAGATGAGATGTTAAACCGAGATCTTGACTGCCTGATCTGGTCGTTTTGACAGACATTAACATCTTGTAGAACAGCAAAAGGCCAGAGCCCCACATCCAGGCCTTTACTCATATGTTACAGATTACAATTTCTTCAAAATTCAGCTGCATCATGTAGGTGCTCCACACTCAAGAGATGGGTTGGCAACAACAACCACAACAAAATTACATTTGTAAAGCGCCTTTCACATCGGGAGGACGTCCCAAGGCGCTGGACAGTCAGAGTTTTGGACCTGAGCTGGGGGTTGGGATTGGGGAGGGTGGAGGGTAGGGGTGAAGCAAGGTGATCGAAAGCACGGTCGAAGAGGAGGGCCTTGAGATGGGTCTTGAAGGAGGCAAGGCGGAGGGACTGCGGAATGGAGTTCCAGAGGGTGGGGGCAAAGTGGCAGAAGGTGGGGGATGTGAAGCAGGCCAGAGCCCGCTGAGTGGAGGGAGCGGGCTGGATGGTAGGGGGTTAGGAGGTCTCAGAGGTAGGGCGGAGCAAGGACATGAAGGGCTTTGAAGCTGAGGATCAGGATCGTGCACTGTATCCACTGTGTGATGGAAAGCCAGTGGAGTCGGGCAAGGATAGGGGTGATAGGCTCACGGAGCCTGGTGCAGGAGAGGACACGGGCTGCAGAGTTCTGGATGGTCTACAGCCTATGGAGGGAGGATTTGGTGAGGCCGACAAGCAGGGAGTTTGAATAGTCAAGCCTTGGTGTAATGAATGCGTGTATGAGGGTCTCGATGGCCTGCGGTGTGAGACAGTGGTGGAGTCTGGCAATATTGCGGAGGTGGGGAAGGCAGAGCAGATCATGGCACGAATGTGGGGTAGATAGGATAGTTGACGGTCAAACAAGAAGCCAAGTTCTGGACTGGCTTAGTAAGGGGGAGTGAGCCCCATGGATGGTAATGCTGTCAGGGCCTGAGGTGAGGAGGTGCTGACCGGAGCCAATCAGGAGCCTCGGTCTTGTTGGCATTCAACTGAAGAAAGTTCGCTCTCATCCAGGACTTGATGTCTGACAGACATTCTGTCAGGACAGCAGTGGGTCCTGGAGTCGAGGGTGGGGCCAGAGAGAGAGAGTTGTATGTCACCTGCATACATGTGGCAGTTGACCCCATGTCTGCGGATGATGTCACCAAGATATAGATATTGAAGAGGAGGGGAACAAGGACAGAGCCCTGAGGAACGCCACACAGACAGTGTGGGGGCTGGAGGAGAAACCATGTGTGGAGATGAAGTGTTAGGTACCTTTCGCTGTACCATGTATCTGGTTTTGGCACAGGGTTGTGTGAGCTTGGATGGAAGGATCGTGTTTCATACTTTCCTTATTTCAAAACTTTCTTACTTATAAAGTTCAGTATTTCAGTTTGCATCACTAGGTAAATAAATTAGTTGGAATATAGCATTGGTTTTATTTATCATTCAACCATCTTGGCTGCAAACTCCAAAGAAATCCATGTTACCACAGCGCTACCCAGAGGCTACAAACTGCACTGCATACATTCCAGTGGCTGTGCAGGAAGCCATCCCACTGAGAGGTGTTATGGGTACAGAAATGTCTTCATACTACACCGTTCAACTCAAATGTATGAATCAATGGGCTTGTTAGAATATTTACAAAATCTGTCACAACCTTAGATAATTCTAAAGGATTCAGTCGAGTGGAAATATTTAATGGTATTTACATTGTTGGTGTAGGAGGAATGATTGAACTGGCTGAGTGGAAGGCAGTGTTGTAGCTGTGAGCACCAGCCAGTCAGTGTCTTCACCTGGATGGAGGAGACTCTTCCTCTCAACAATCCTTCAGTTCCTCCCCAAAGTTTTCAATTAGATTCCAGCCTGTAACTCAGTCTGTGGATTAGTTAGTCTATATATAAACCATGATCTGCTTGATAAAATTCCTACCTTTAATTTACTGATGGGATCTATTATTCTACATGCAAACTTCAAATCTAAAAAGGTCCCTTAATAATTGAGGCAGACAACACAAGGCTGGTGCTTAATCACCCCCAAACAAGGATCTCACTCCAGATTTTCACTGTTTCAATTATGAATTGCCATTGAGATGTTGTGCTGCTCTTTATACCTCTCCGGTGATATGTCATGGAGGAGTTTAAAGCTCACAAGTGGTCACAAGTGTTCGTGTTTTGCTATTAAACACACCATGCAGGTGAGGATACAGCAACAAATAAACAATCATAATTTGTACTCCTGCTAGTGCCTACCTGTCTAAGTAATAGTGAAATGCTGAACCGTATGTTGGTCTGCTTTCCTGGCGACTCCGCGGTAAGACTGGTGTTGGTGTGCACAGCCAAGTCTCCAGCTCGGCCAGTCTGAACTGGCTCAGCATCTGCAGCATCCTGCAAATAAAACAGAAGGAAAGACTGGTGTAGTGATGCACCATGCTGAGATAAACATGCGCTGAGCAAGAAAACACCAATTCTTGGCATTTATACTCATATTTACCTTTCATCCCTCAGCATGCCATGGTCCCTGAACCGGTCTGACAGGTCATGGCCAAAGTTTCCTCGCTTCAACGAACATAGCCTCGCTGTCGTCTTGATAGACATTCCTGAAACACATCAGCTGCATAAACAGGAGAACAATAATCAATTAATTTTTTGTTTTGGTCAACCAGCTGTCCGACACCCGTGGAAACCTATGACTGTGCTTAAGAGTTTCCAAACCAAGCTGAGATTTCCATGCATCCACCTACAAATAGAAATCCCAGATATAGATTGTTGGAATGGAATGTGCTCTCTCTCCCTGCAGGGACACATCCTGTTTACCTAATTCCAAAAAGTATCAGGCACAGGTTGGCAACAGCCAAGGCTTGGGGAAATCAGTGTATGTGTTGGGGTTAAGAGTCTAACCAGCTAAAACCGCATAGCTTGCCATTGATATTGGTGTCTGGCAAGCTTTCCCACTGCTTGTCCAGCTAGGACCAGCCTACACATTAAGGCTTCAGCTTGCAGGGTTAACAGGAGCTGAGCGGGAGGATTCCCTGCCCTTCCAGGTCCTTTTGATGAGCAGGCTGGCTGTGCTATCATCAGCAGTGCCTGGAATATGCGATGAATGAGGAGACGGATTACTGAAGAGAGTCTGCTAATCCATTTACTTCCCAAATCAGCTAGAGACCCTCAAACACACTTTGACACACAAGCCTTGCTCTCTCAGCTTTTGCTTAATAAAAACAGCAGCTTCAACATATATGAGCATAATGCCCACAGCACACACGTAGTGCTACCTGGAGAACCCTAACGCTGCACATCAAAAGAGTTGAAAGGCAAACTTTTCCACTTCAACTTTAACAAAAGAAAAAAGGAAAATCTTATTCAAATAGGTACAAAGCTCAACATATCTCCTGGAAATCATATTCTTCCTTTCCCAAAGGTGGTTCCAGTGATTCCGATTATTCAGATTTACATAGTATACACACTAGTATTATATCCAGCAATGCACAGCATGCTATTATGTAATATACACAGTCACACATGGTCTGCGCCATTATACTCCCTAATAAGGTCAGGTTATGTTTGAGGGTCTCTAGCTGGTTTGGGGAGTAAATGTATATTGTGTAACATACACTGTTAACAGACAGGGCATGATTATTTATTGCCATCCACTGGGTGCTGACATCGGCCTTCAGTCAAGACATTAACCTACATCACATCAGCTTGTTTAGGTACATATCAAATATCCCACAATAATATTCGAAAAAGGAGTTTCGCCCATAAAGTGTCCTGCCAGAGAAACTCCATTATTCACTTCTTGACTTTTCTTGGGACTCTGCTGTGCGCAAATTGGTGTTTGCCTACAAAAACAGTCACTACGCTTGACTAGTTTCCTGTGAAGCGATTTGAGATGTTGCCAAGTTAAAGGTGGCAGATCAACGGCAATAATGATTATGATATTGTTATTGTACAGTGATGTACGCCTTATGTTGTGTCAGCGGTGCTGGAGAAAGTTTGCAGTTTGCTGCTTCACAGCGCCTCTCAGATACGCCCAGTGCTGCTCGGGAGGGCAGATCTCCTTTAGAATGGACTAAAGATATGTCTGTTCTGCTCTTAAACCGGACTCCCTGACCGCCGAGATGATGAGCAGAGCGATTCCTCGGCAAAAAAAAAGTTGTTGTTCTGATCAAATGTGGAAAACTTTCATTGGGTGAACGCCCTTTTCCTGGGGAGATCGGGGCTCAAAGCATTTATTTTACAAACAGAAAACAAGTCATTTTTAAAAGAGATATACATAGGGGAGGGATGTCTACTTTTCAGGTTTAAAGCAAATGGTTTCGAGTTGAAAGACATTTATTTGTCAACGGCGCCCGGACCGGGGAGAGAGAGAAAGTTTACTGACCGTATCCGCTGCTCCACACACTCAATCCCAACCGCGTCTCCTGTGCTCTTCCCCGGAATACTGTCACTGAAATTCCATTTAGTTTGTTGGTTAACAGAGACTGAATGAGCAAAGCGGCGCTTTCTTTACATCCTTCTGCCAGTCAGTCAGTCAGTCAGTCAGTCAGTGTGAGGTCCTGACACATTGATTTCAATTTAAAGTGCGATTGCATCATGATTTTTTGCGGCGAAGCGACCGACTGCATCTTTCTTTTCTGCAAACTCAGCTTCCTCTGCAGTCACGATTAACAACATGTAACGCTGCCAGAGTCTGATCATCAGAAAATGCTGAAAATCTGAAATAAAAATGGCAAATGCTGAGACTAAAGCAGACGTTCAGCATCTGAGCCCAAGACAAACTGTTGTTTCCAGGAGTAATCCCGATTTAAGCAAATGCATTTTTACTTCAGAGTAGAGACTTCACTAACCCATACTGGTTTGCTTTTTCTCCTCTTCCTTCAACTGCCTTGAACGAGACTGAGGTCCTGACTGTCTGTTCAGATGGACATTAAAGCTCCCATAGCATGATTTGAAAAGAGAAGGGAGTTTCTCCAGGCGTCCTGGCCAACAATCCTCCAGATAAAATTGATCATTCACTTCATAGCTGTTTGTGGGATGTTGCTATACCCAAACTGGTTGCTGCATTTGCTTACAAATATGTAGTCACTACACTTTACAAGAACTTTATGAAACACTTTGAGACACCGTCAACATTGTACAAAAACAACTTGCATTCATATACACATTAGAATGTGTTATTGCCGCTATACCAAATACAAGATTATTAGAACCCATAGAAACCAAAAAATGTTCCATTCACAAGTACAAGGAAGGTTTACTCCTGATAGTCATGCCCCTGGGCATATCAGAGAGTGTTGCAATAAGAGCTGTGGGAATTATCAGTTTTAATATTCAGATTACTGCATCTACATCTATATTGATGTGAATTTATAGGTTAAAATATTAAAGAATTCCTTATCCTTCTAATAAATACATTCAGACATTAATTCCAGGATAATAATAATAATAATAATCCTTGCATTTGATATAGTGCCTTATCTCATCTTCAAGACGTTTCGAAGTACAGAATATACTGTAAAGTGAATTGATTGTATATTTTGTGGGCGAAACACGGCAGCCAATTGCGATGTATAATCTTTGATTGAAACCCTGTGGAGCCCTGTAACCGAAATTCCATTTTAGGTTACACAATTCCAATCATGGGTTTGCTAAGAAAGCCCTGTTGAACATGCAGCTGTTTCAGGTTAGGAGTTGGAATTCCAGGGAGTGGGAGGTTTGGACCATTGCCGGTTCCACAACCACATAGACATGTGTTGGTATTGACTACCAGCTGATCTGCTTTTCATTAGTCATGTGGAAGCTGCTTAATACCATGTTGTACAGCAGAGGGCACAAATACATCACCTTTTCTTTCTCCTAAATCTGGATTCCATGAACGCTGAGTTGGGATTTGCAGGATTTTACAACACAGAAAGAGGCAATTTGGCTATCGTGCCTGTGATGGCTCTCTAAAAGTATTATCTATTTAGTTCCACTCTCCGAGCCTATCCCACACCCTTTTACACTTTCCCTTTAAAAATATTTGTCAACAACTGACATCACTTCATCTCCGCAAACAATTTTACCTCCTGCCCCTGCCCAGTAACCTGTGGGGTACCCCAAGGTTCCATCCTTGAACCCTTCTTTTCCTTACTGACATGCTCCATCTCGGTGATGTCATCCACAGACACAAGGTCAATTTCCACATGTACGTGGATGACACCCAACTTCTTCAGCTGCTGATGTTCTGGCAACTTGTTTGTAAGATATCAAGGCTAGATGAGCACAAACTTCCTTGTCAACAAGACTCCTGGGCTCCCTTCAACATCTTCACTCCTGCGGCTCTGACCTCCTCAATTTTTCTAGCCTATCCCTAAGAGTTAACAAAACTATGCATAATCTAGGCGTCAGGTTTGAACATAAGAATTAGGAGCAGGAGGAGGCCATTCGGCCCCTCGAGCCTGCCCCACCATTCAATAAGATCATGGCTGATCTATTCTAACTCCACCTGCCCACCATATCCCCATATCCCTTAATCCCTCTATCCACAAGAAATCTATCAATCTCAGTCCTGAATATGTTCAAGGACTAAGCATCTACAGCCCTTTGCGGTAGAGAATTCCATAAACTCCTGTCCTGTAGCTTAGTGGTTAGAGCACTCGCTTTGCAAGTGAGAGACCTGAGTTCAATTCCAGGCAGAGGGCGAAACCTTGGGCAAGTTTCCTTACTCCACACAGAGCCTAATAATAATCCCTCCAAAACCAAAAACAATAATAAATTGGTCATTTTCAATCTACGACTGTTTGTGGGACATTGCTGTGCGCAATTGGCTGCCGCGTTTGCCCACAAATATACAGTCAATTCACTTTACAGTGTGTTCTGTGAAGCGCTTTGGGACGTCCTTCCGACGTGAAAAGCGCTATATCAAATGCAAGGATTATTTGCCAATCTACGTTGTACCCCCTCCAAGGAGAGTACATCCTTTCTTAAATAAGGAGACCAAAACTGCACACAATACTCTGGGTGCAGTCTCACCGGGGCCCTGTGCAGTTGCAGTAAGACTTCCCTACTCTTATATTCTAACCCTTTTGCAACAAATGCCAACATACCATTAGCCTTCCTAACTGCAAACTAACTTTTTGTGACTGGTGTACAGGGGTACCTCAAAAAGGGTGGTCGAGGCCGATTCAATAACAACTTTTAAAAACGCCGTGAATGGGTATTTGAGGAGGACGGGTTTGTGGGGTTATGAGGAAAGGGCTGGGGAGTGGGACAGACATTACATTGCTCGTTTCAAAGAGCCAGTACAAACTCGATGGGCTGAATGGCCTCTTTTTGTGCTGTATGATTCTATGATTCTATAGGACACCCAAGTCCCTCTGAACACTAACACTATCTAGTCTCTCCCCTTCTAAAAACTAATCTGCTCTACTGTTTTTGCCACCTAGGCGGATGACTTTGATCCTCAACTGTACTTCCTACCCCCCACATCTGGTCCCTGACCACGATCACTTTCCTCCACCTCCATCACATTGACCCCACCCCATCCCCCCCACCCCGACTGTACTTCTCACCCAACGCAGCCAAAACACTCATCCACGCTTTTGTCACCTCCCTCCTCGACTATTTCAATGTCCTCCTTGCTGGTCTCCCCAGCTTCACAATCCACAACATCCAACTAATTCAAAACTCCACTGCCCATATACTTACCTGTTCTAAACTCCATAACCTATCACATCAGTCCTCACCCGGCTCCACTGGCTCCTGATCACGAATGGATCGACTTCAAGATCCTCACACTTGTCTACAAATCCCTTCATGCCCTGTCACCTCCCCTACCTCTCCAATCTGTTTACTCCCCACTCCAGCACCTGTCGCCTCCTCATGGCTGGCTCCGACCTCCTGCTAGTCCCTCGTCCCTCTGCTCTGCCGTCAACAACCATGCTTTCAGCCACGGCACCCTGAAAATTAGGAACTCACTCCCTCCACCTTGCCCCGCCCTTCCTTATTTTTAGATCATGCCTGCAGACCTTCCTCTTTGACTGTGCTTATGGTCACCGCCTGCCTCCCCTGGCTCGGGATCAGGCTCCGACACTGTTAAGAGCTCCAAGACGCTATTCTGCGTGAAGGACGTTATATAAATAAAAGTTGTTTTTGTTATTGGTGTCTAATTTATCTAATTGTTATGGATTCTGCATCAACCACCATTTTTATTTTGGCTTTGTAAATCTTAATAACTTTGTGTAAGTCTACTAAACTACCTTTGCGTTTTTGGTTTTGATCTTATAGTTCTCATTCACACCTACCTGCTTCCACACACCTTCCCACATACACGGAATGAGGCCCACTTCTTGTAGACTCCTTGTCCAAAAATAAATTAGTACACAAGATCACTAGCTTGTCAGAAGGGCTGTCCTTCAGATGAGACATTAAGCTAAGTTCAGATGGTTGTTAAAGATCTCATTGCACTATTCAAAAAGAGAAGGCAGTTTTTCCCATGTCCTGGGGAACATGGCCGTTTGTTAGATTTGCTGTGGATAAATTAGCTATTGTATTTGCCTATAAATATTGCAATTACTTGTGAAGATCCTAGAAGTGTTTCAGCGTTATAGGCGCTATAATAAGTGTAAGAATTATTATTGACTCCATTTGCCAGTTGTTATTGTTGATTAACACTCATCACCACTTCTTCCTCAGTACATTCCGTCCATCCTGGGGCTGCGACTTTCCCCACCCTATTGCGTTCCCCTGCCCCAGGGAGAGGAAAGTGAATTTGTGCTCCTAATTGCTGCATTACCTGACTGTTCCACAGGGCTCAGTAAGAGTGTACTATGATTCTCAGCAACCTCACAAACAGATGTTTTATAAACACTAGTCACAGTGTCTTCCAATGGATCAGCACAAGGAAGCCATAGCTGTCTCTGGCAGGAAACATCTGCTCCATGCTCCAGCATCTAATGGGGCAGGAGGTTCTTGACAAGTCAATCAGGCAAACAGAGTGTGGGAAAAAGTAGAGGCACAAAGCAAGCTCAAACTCCTCAAACATGTCTACAGTGGGCCTGAGAAACACGCTGCCACTGGTTCCTGAGACACACAAGTCACATCTGATATCAATATTCGAACGGCAAGATTTTACTGGCAATGTTAAAGAAACACTTGGTTACAAGTGGACAACACAGAATTGTCTTCACTGGAGAATCTGACTCGGTCTCACAACAGAAAATAATTATTTCATCTATTTTCCAGGGTACATTTACTTTTATCCTCTTCTTTTCCTAACAGTGTGGACTCATGATTGGCCACAGTTCCACTGGCATTCTCTTGTTCAAGTGACCATTCTCCAAATATAATTTCACACCACTCTATTACAGGGATATTTGACCAAAGGGGCACCATAGCCAAACATGATCTTCAACTCATATGTCTTCATACACATAACTTCCAGCAAAGGGTCTCTGGTTATAGATCAGGTGAAGGAACCCTGACTGATTTACCCCTTCGCAAACCAGGGGCACGGGGGGAAGGTAATATGGGGACGGAATCAGGTAGCTAATAATGGAATCAGGCAGGTGATTGGAGTAGGAGTGATGACACAAAGCAAGATATTTAGGACACAAGGTGCAGAACTGATACAAGGGTGCTGCTGATCTGGAGTAAAGTTCTTTAATTTT